CAAGTATCGTCATTGAATTCACGGCTAGATCTTAGCACAAAGCGCATTTTCTATAACATTCAGATACTAAGTATTCAATGTACCCAGAGAAACTGAAGACACCAGTGAAAATGATCCCGAAATCTTTTATCTCATTGATTCTCTGTAAATTGGTGTGATTAATGAAATATTTGTTGATAGTGGTGACTTCTTCCTTCTTGACATGTCGACTGAGTTTCTGTTGATACGTCAAGAAGAGTAGTTTGACCACGCCACTGAAGATGACTGCCGCAGTTGTGGTTGAAACGTTTGGAGATTATAGTCAAAGAAGACCACGGCAAAACCCGAAAGCCAACCAAAACACCAGATCGAATCTTCAATAAACAACACTTCTTTGGGAATATTTTATATGAAAGTAGATGAATATTATTGAATTTCCAGAAAACACATGGATGTCCAATGGATATACAAAATAAACTTCAATGATATCCAATGGATGCTCATCGATGGATGCACTTCAAGGATATTCAATAGATGTCCATCGATAAATGAAGACGTCTATTGGATATCACATGTATATCCATATGTCACTAACTTCACCTATGATATCCTTTCAACTTGGGTTTCCAATAAGTACAATTGGGACATTCATTGTACAATATAAAAACGAACATTGGAGTAAAAAAAAATCAACTGATCTTGACTGAACCTTCCGCAATGGAAATTTAATGGACTCCACTTAAACATACTCAGACCTTCCGTTTGAATCATCTATGGATGTGAATTGAATGTAAATTGGTCGTGTAATGGAACCAGTTTGGATATTTCCGAAAAGTCACAATTGCAGTAGTATCAAAATTCATACTCAATGAAATATATAATAACCTGGTATATTCATCTCCAGACAACTGACAGACTTGGAGTTGACAATTTGTTGACGTTGATCGAAATGAACATTTGAACTTCAACATCCATTTCATACAAAATTTCAATCTTAAGTCAATAGACTACAACTTCAGATGTGAAATGTGTTAAACTATGAAAAACATTGAAAATCTCAACATGAAGTAAAATACACAAAAAACTGAAAAATAGTGATGAATGATTCACTTTTTTACAATTTTCGTCTTTTCTTGGTTTGATTTTTCGAAATTTTAAAGCTGTTGCAAGCATCTGGATATAACATCTCAAGGGATGATGATTTTAGTGATGATGATTTTAGTGATGATAAAATGTTGATTTTAGTGATGATAAAATCAACAATTATTCTGTATAGATAATTGATGATAATGATAAAATGAAATACATGAGATTTCTTCCACACAGAATTGATTTTTGAGAATGTCACAAAATGAACTATCAAAATTGAAAAAAATTCCTTATTGTGTACAATAATCGTAATAAAAACGCTTATGAAAACGCTTGATGAAGCTATCGTATAACAAAACACTGTTTATTGGAAGTCCCACAATAAAGTGTTGTTTGAATAAATCCGAATGCATTTTTTTATGAATTGAAATCCACGATGGAATGTACACACTGTGGACACTCATCAGTAACCTTTGATGCTTTCTGGGATTTGTCTCTCTCCATACCACAAAGAACTGACCAATTGAGTTTGTGGCAATGCTTGGATTTGTTCACAAGAGAAGAAACTTTGGATGGAAATGAAAAAACGACGTGTTCGAAATGGAAGGAAAGGAGAAAATGAACAAAGTCCCTATAAATCCACAAGTTTCCCCGTATTTTAGTAATTTATTTGAAAAGATTCTTTCCAACGGAAAGATTTAGAGACAAATTGAATGTTGTCATCGAATTTTCTCTAGAGGAATAAAATATGAACAATTTTGCAGCAGAAACTGTTGTTGTCATGATCTACATTCACTTTTAAATCAGAGTGGGACTACAGACTGCAGACACCCGAATACTGGCACGTAGCACAAATACAACGATCCATACGTGTTACCAATTTCACCAAAATCGCTTGTGAGTGGAGAAGCATACGCAGTGGCTTAGCAAAGGGGGAGCGGCGGGGGCGGGCCACACCGGGTGTTACCTTTTTTGGGGTTACACCCACCCGGTCTTTCAACTTTAAGAACAATGTACAAAAGTAAAATCGTTTCATATTGCTCAACTAGTTTATGAGAAAATATTCTTACATTATAGAACATAACAACTGGCTTTTTGTTTCAGTGTAAGAAACAAACATCGAGTGAAAAATGCCCCCAGGAGTGCATACATCCAAAAGAAAAAGTGGATTTCAGCAAAGGAAAGCCAAATAGGCTAGATTGGATGTAGTTCAGAGTATGTCTGGATCGATTTTTAAGTATGTTAGAAAAACTGATGACAGCTCAAGCTCATCAATAGAAACTGATTTTCACACCTTGATGCAAATTCAAGAGATGATTTAGATAATATCACCTCATCTTCAGGAAGCAACATTGACAGTACATAATTAATTAACACAAACGAAGAAGATGCTGAAAATAATAATAGCAGTACTATTATTACTACCAATGAACCATTTCCTCAGTTTGATGATGTGTCAGAATGTAGTATTCCTGTTCCTTACAAATGTTCGCATTGAAATAATAAAAAAAGGAAGTGAATACTTCCAAAACAAAGAAGGACCATTTGCCACTGTTTCTAGGCACGGAACCAAAATAAAAGGTGACGCTCGTCATCTCTCAAAAGATTGGTTTTATAAAATTATGCCTAATGGTGAAAAAATCCTACGGTCATGAATGGTTTATTTCCTCACCTCTAAAAACCTGTACTGTTTTTGCTGATGTTTATTTGCTATGGCCAATAATACCAATGTGGGAACATTTACGACTGGATATCATAAGTGGTGGAAATTAAATCCGAAAGTAGCTGACCACGAATGTTCAAATGAACATTTAGAAAATCTTGAGAAATGGAAAAATTCAGAAATGAGACTAAAATTGAATAAAACAATAGATGATGCAGCTTTGCAATTGATGGATATAGAAAAACAGAAGTGGAAGCATCTTTTGACTAGATTACTGGAGATAACTTTATTTTTGGGTAAACAAAACTTGGCGTTTTGTGGACATGATAAAGGACAAGACTCTAAAAATAAAGACAATTTTTTTTGAATAAGTAAAACTATTGTCAAAGTATGATGTAGTGTTGAAAGAACACATGATGAAATTGGAGGAAGATAAAACTTCAAAAGTATCATATTTGTCGCCAGATACACAGAATGAATTCATTAATGTTCTATCAAACCATGTGAAAACTAAGCTTGTCAACGAAATTGAATCAGCGAAATATTTTGGTATTATGTTTGATAGCACACCTGACATTTCACATGTTGACCAAATGTCTGAAGTGATACGTTATGTGAAAATAGAAAAGTGAAAGTCAAAGAATTGTTGGAACAGTAGAGCGATTTTTTCTTTTTTTTTTTCGCCTCCACTAGCCGTTGGGAAATGCTTATGAAACACAGCAAATCATCTGTTAAAAGACACTCAACAACGCGTTGGAGTGCTCATTACCGTTCAGTAAAAGCACTAGCAGATAATTTTAAAGGACTTTTAGACGCAATTGAGGAATTGTGTGATGGACGAGAAAATGTAGACACCAGAGATGCTGCACAAAACCTCATGCCTGCTGTGTGCAATTACACCCTTTTATGCTATCTTTCCTCCTGGTATGATGTTCTTCGGGAAATAAATGCTACACAGATTGCATTGCAAAGTAAAGGCTTGACTGTTGACGAAACTGCTACAAAAATAGAGGCACTTCGTTTTTATATCGAAGAAAAACGGGATCACATTGTGGAAGGGGCAATATACAGTGCAACGAAAAAATCAGAAGACTACGATATCCCAATAGAAAAACGACTTCGGCGTGAAAACCGGATGGTTGGTGAGATGACCAGCGATGCAAGACTCACACTGAAAGAGGAACTTCAAAAAGATATGTTGGAATGTTTTTACCGATTCAGAGTTGAACTCCAAACAAGATCGAAGTCTCTCCAAGATGTAGCTTCATTGTTCGGGATCGTACAAACTAATGCTTTGCTTTTGGCGACTACTGAAGAACTGAAATTAGCTACATCTGAATTTACTGATTTTTATGATGAAGTCTCAGAAACCGAATCACTTTTGGGGATACCAAGACTGCGAAGACACTTAAAAGCCGCTAATGTTGCGGTTACTGATTGGGTGTCTCTAGATTTCTTTAAGTTTATTGTAGAATGGGATTTTACAGAATCTCTTCCAAATCTTATGATTGCACTGAAATTGTTCATGACGGTTTGCGTGTCCGTAGCTTCAGGTGAGAGGAGTTTCAGTAAAAAACTATTTGCGGGCAACAATGATCCAATCGCGGCTTAGCAATCTTGGTATATTAGCCATCGAACACGAGACAATACAAAATATAAAGTTATTGCTGAGTTTGCAGCCGTCAAAGCTAGAAAGAAGAAATTTTAATTGGATAACAATTCCTTTTCTGTCTTAGTTATTATTGTGTTTTGTTATTTCTTCAATATTATAATATTGGATAATATGATAATAATAAATGATCCATGACCTTTATCATATAAAATTTATTGCTTTTCACTTTCGATGGGGTGACACCACCAACTTCCGCATCGGGTGTCACCCAAGGTAGCTACGCCACTGAGCATACGTCCTCTGTTATGAAAAGGAGGAACAAAATCACACCTTTGAGATACCTGAGGGAAAATTTCTTCATGCTCCTGTACCAATATATTTGATATTTATATTCAAATATGTATTTGTGTACCTGATAAGTTGAATTTATAATGTTTCATTATAGTTATAATTGTTATCTAAATATGGAATAAAAGTAATACTGATAAAAACTTGAAATTCATAAATATGTCACATATCTAAACAAAGAAAAATTTTTATTTAGGTTGATGAATTGAAAACCACAGAAATATAACATTCAAAATTTGTGCTATAACAAATTGTAAATAAACAAGAATTCGAAGATGAAAGTTATTAGTAATTGTTTTGTCGTTTCAGGTTCATTTCGAGAACACCATTCAAGGAGTGTGAAAAAGACCCAAAGTATAAGAAGCATGGGTTTCACAGTCAGTTTTATTTTCAATGAAATGCCATGAACATATTCGAAATCTGCCATGAAAGTACTTTCCTCACTTCCCCCTCTTCAATAAAAACCTATCTGAGAAGTATGTTTAGGTTTGGTTTATAAATTGATTTTTCCCTCATTCAACTGCAATCGGAACTATAATTTGGAAAAATATATTCTACTTATTTTCCTTAATGTTTGTTACAAATTATCATATTTAATCATTGTTATTGGAAATACCTACCCCTACATAACATCAATGATTTTTTATTCAGATATGATGAAATATAAACATGATGGACCCCATACAATACGTATACGAGTATTTTATTCAGTCACTATTTACGTCGAAATTCTATGTAGAAACTGAATTGTAAACAAGACACTAGCAAAGATTTACGACCAGTCCGATATCGAGGTCGGATTAGCGAACTTTCTACATAACTACAAGAGCATTCAAGCACATAATGCTTCATTCAAAAATGAACTTTCACTATCAACGGATAGGCCCATCAAAATAGAATTAACTGAATAGTTTTTTGAAATTAGAGAAATATATAAAATCCCAATTCTGTGACAATGCAAGTAATACACTGTGTGGTGCGTTCTAGTTATACGATATTATTCAACATCGACCTTGTTTTTCGAAAGTGATTTTTACTCCTACCGGGTGTCAACTTATAGTGTATCGGGTTCATCAAAATGAGATTTGGTATAAATGAGAATTTCACATTCTAAACTAGAATTGTCTCTGAAAGAGAATGTTTTATTTAGAAATTCAAAACCAGAGCGATGTTCGGTGAAACCAGATGCGATCAGAAAGTGAAAAATACTATTCACTCAATGAAAACACTTTTGTAAAATTTCCATTAGTTATTTTATTTTTACGACTGGTTTCGGGTTTTATCCCATCACCGAATATAAAAACTAACTGGTTCATTTAGGTTATATCTAGTAATTACTGGGGTTGTCAAACTCATAAATTCAAAGTGGAGACCTACATAAATCGAGTTGCTCGTTTAGGAATTTATATTTCGGGTTTTTAATTTATTTGTTAATTACCATGGCTTCCAGCATATTCATCTTCTTTTTTTCATAACATATGTGAAGGATTTTGAGATTATCTTTCCTTATCTTGTGTTTTGATTCTTGCAGATCTTCATACATTGTAGATTGTTTGTCCATACACAGCATAGAGCCCTACCTCAAAATATCTACCTGTTTGGCCTGTATATACTGCAGAGCATTCTCCACACTCTATTTTAACTAATCTATTCAATCTATCTTGTTTAGGTTTTGAATCGATCGGAATTCTGCCTCTTAAATTATTATTACTCATGAAAGCTGTTGTTATTTTGTATTTAGAAGAGTAATTTGGAATATTTTTTGAAATTTTACGACCGATTTCGGATTAGCGAACTTTCTACATAACTACAAGAACATTCAAGCACATAATGCTTTATTGAAGTGATCATGAATTTCTACGAAATATACAAGTTATCAATTACACAAATTGACAAAATTACATTTTCGTTTCAAAGTATAATTTTTCAAATAACCACAGCTTCGATGTTATGGCTTGTCGTATCATTTCTGTGTATGGCTCTCCAGTTTCCTGAAAGAACTTTTCCTGCAAGTGGCCGTCGATGGATATCTCTCGAATCTTCCACCATCAACGCTGGTGTTCCTTAGGCATCCATATTGTCTCCAACCCTCTTTTTATTGTATATCAACGACTTATTGGAAAAAACCAGGAATTCAATATATTGCTTTGCTCACGACATCACACTTGTCTCATCATTTCAGGACATCGGCCACGGAGGCACATCTGCAACGGCAGCAGGAGGTTGCATATCTTAATGAGAATCTAGAAGTGATTTCGAATTGGGGTGAAAGTAACCAGGTTCAATTCGAAGTCACAAAACCCAGACATCGATTTTCTCCAAGAAGATAAATGTCTCCGAACCGGATATTATGATGTCAGGTCAGACAATTCC